CAAGCACACAAGTATTCTATTGAGAAAGCAAGGGGCATGCACTGGCTTATTAAATAATTAATAAGTTAGTGGGAGGAAAACTACACATAAATAAGGAACATGGAAGCAAAATCCTAAACCCATATATGGCAAACAGTATTTATAAAAGCAACCATTTTGTTTCATCAAATCTTACACTATAACTGGTAACAGCACACAAACCTAAGGAAGAGTAGTACCTCGCAACAACATGCAAAACTTTAAAAAAAAAAACCCAGCAAGCCTTATAAAAACAGAAAATAAACATGTTCAGGGATATAAACATCATTTTTAAAAAAGTTCCTTACAACTTGAATGATAGGTTAAAAAAAAAATCCAATCAAAACACAATGAAATCTGGAACTTAAGAAGTTGATGCTAAAATTAAAATGAAAGAAGAAAGAACAAAATGAAACAAAATGAGACATAAGAAAAAAATCCTGAAATATAAACATGTGCTCATTCACACAGACAGATACAAACACACCACACTCTAAGACACAAGTGAATCAACCTTTACAAAATAATGCAGTAGAAGCCATACAGCATCAAGTAATTTTATTTAATGATAATTAAATTTCATTAAGAGGAACCACAAAAAATGCAATGTTAAGCCACAAACCAGAAAGTCTACAACCACATAGTGGAAATATCTATGCAGCTAATAGATCTATCTTATAATATCTATCCAGATAACAATAATTAGAAACTATATAAAATGCACTGCAAAACCACAGGGAGATACTACGTCACCCCGCCGTCCTCACAATGATTAGTCTGTCAGGAGCAACTGTTGACTAGGGTGTGGAGAACACAAGAGAACACCCCGCTGTGGGAGTGAAAAGGATCTCTTTAACAAGAATTGTCTATTAGAGCAGAATCCACACCAGTATCTGCCTTAAAATAATTATGGTGAGTATAGCACAAGACAACCAGACACATTCACATAAGAGCTGTTTCAACAGCAAAGCCCAGACACAAACCTACTGTTCACCCCTGGTAGGATGGATATGTGGACCATGGGACACTCACAGCAGAGCACGCCATAGCAGTGACTATGACAGTGTTAGAGCCCTGTGTAAGAACAGAACTCTAACTCATGGCCAGGTGTGCTGGCTGGCTGCAGGGGCGGGTGGGCTGGGTGGCTGGCTGCAGGGTGCGGGTGCGCTGGCTGGCTGCAGAGGCAGGTGGAGCTCTATGAGCTCCAGGCCAGCCAGGAGTACAGAGTGAAATCCCATTCAAACACAATACAACGAAAACTCCAAAATAAAACAAAATTCTCATGAATGTACTGCTGAGTGGTAGGGGTCACAAGGAATTATAATTCAATTTATTAAAGGTTAAAGACAAGTAAAAGTAAACAACATAGCCTGAAATTACACATGGGGAGTGTGGTAAGATGGATCCTAGACACCGCCACCAGAGAGCAGAAAGGAACAGGGTAAGGATGACACCACCACACTGCAAAGACACCAGGGCTGTCGCATTACGCCACATGCCCAGAGCTCTTCCTTTCACTTGTCAGCCACCTTAGACACACATTATAAACGTTCTCTTACAGCATTCAATAAAAATGATTAAAATTAATTTGTCAGCCCAATAGTTCTCCCAGTTATAGAAACGAGGAGAATATGACCATAAGGAAGGGGCATCTGGCACACAGTTTTGCGTAATAAACCCCTACCCGTGGCACACAGGAAGCAGTTCTTTTTCTTCTTGCCCGCTTTGCAGACATTCACGATGCTCAGCAGGCGCTCGTCGTTTGGTGTGAAGATATCTCTCTGCAGCGCGTGCTTGATGGCGGTCATCTTTTCTCAGCTGAAAAGCAGTTATTTAGAGGAGAGGTGTTGAGCTCGTCTCAAAAGCATCACCCTCCCTCACAAAGTGTTCCACTTGTGACTCAAGTGATAAATTCTTAATAGATACATAAACATATTAATAGAGCTATAACGTAAAAGCATGGGGCTTCAAGTTTAGAAATGAAATTAGAGAAACCAGTACACACACACACACACACACACAGACAGATACTACCCATATATACATGTATGCAAGCATACACACGTACACACAGAGACAAGTACAAACAGCCAATAAATATTACAAAAGTTCAGTATAGGGCTGGGGCGACAGCTCTGTTGGCAAAGTGTTTCCTAGTACGTGGAGAACACAAGTCCAGTCTTGCATAATTTCTAGAGCTCACATAACCAGCAGTGCATGCTGGGGAGGCGGAGACAAGCAGACCCCTGGAGTGAGTTCACTGACCAGACAGCTTCACCTACTGCTGGAGTGCCAATCTGGTGAGAGACCATGTCAAGAAAAGGGGTATGAACGGTGCTCTGAGGAGGTGCAGCTGCCCTTTGGCTTTTGCAAAGACACACACCAGAAGCCCAAAGCACTCCATATCATCAACCAGCTGGGAAATGTGATTGAAATCCACCGTGAGATACCTGATACTTTCAACTGCTGGGAAGGCTAAACACCCAAAGGACACACAGCAGCAAGCACTGATGAAGGAGAGTCTCCCACACAGCTAGGAGGATCACAAATGGTACCGAGGCTTTAGAAAACAGTCCGGCAGTTTCCTCTACAAGTCAAGCGTGCAACTACCATTATGATCCAGCCCCCGTCAACCACTAATTTAAAAAATACCCTTCAGCTGGAACTTATGGAGGCATCTTCTCAGCTGAGGTTCCCTCCTTTCAGATGACTCTAGCCTGTGCCATATTGACATACAATTAGCCACAACCCCTTAATACGTCCTAAAGGCCGGACGTGACATTAAAGCTCTGTTCCATCTTACCCTATGGATACTGTCCAGTTTACTGTTCTGTCTTAGGTTTTATTCAGTTTTCCTTTTTCTGAAATTCTTGACACTGAAAATTCCAACTCACCCTCAACGAATCTGGTAACACATTGTCTCTTCTTTGAAGCCTTTTCTCCTAGAAAAATTCCTCCTCTTCTCTTCCCCATCTTACCTCTGCTGACAACAGCTCTTCCAACCTGTGTTTTTTAGCTAGTGCACTCTAGTCCCTCTTAAAACTAGTTCTCTGTTGGCAAGGACCTTATCTTATTCATCTTTATATTCCTAGCATAGGCCAAGAGGCACACAGTGAGTGCTTAGTAAACATTTAAGGGATTACTATCACACTCAATAACAGACCAGGGATAGTTCCCTCAAAGTTACCTCTTTCCAACTTTTGCATCTCTAAGAAAATACTCAGATTCAAACTTTGCCCTAATCGATTGCTTCCTCCATTCCAAAGTGAAATCTGTGAGCATATTCTGTGACTTCCCCATCTACATAAAACTTACTGCCCCCCTTCCCGCCAACACAGCAAACATGGCCTACTGCCTTTAAGTAATAGTATTTTTTTTTTCTTTTCAGGCTTCCATAAGTTCCCTGAAAAAACTAAAGTAACTTTGAACCAGTTCTCATTATACTATACACCTGGTCAACAGCACTCTAGCTTTCTCAAGCCATGCCTTCCATTCAGAGCACTCTGTTCTTTTTGGCTTGAAATCTCTGCTTGAGCACTTTCCCATGCGGGACATATTAGCTTCTCCCTATTCGAACCTACGTTTCTCCATTTGGATGAAGCTGACTCAATAAAAGTCTTAACCCACAGTGATCTTTTCATGTCAATGTCTAGAGCACTTTTTCACTGTATTACTAGACAAGTGCTTGCCATCGAATGGGAACATGGGTGTCATCTCCTAGATCTCCACAGCCATTTCTTGAGAGGAGTAGGAGGAGGATGCTCTATCACAGGTTTGTGTGTTGGGTACTAACAACCTCTTGGCATAGCCTGTTTTACCGCAATAGTAAAAGCTCGTCAAAAGAAAAATGAACAATGGTCAATACTCATACTACATGGTAAATGGTAAAACAGTAGAAGGCTGGTCATAACTCATAAAGGAATTAAATAGAATTCAACAAATATTGCTATTCACTAAGTGCCAGACAGTACTCTGGGGTCTAGTGAAGAATTTGAAGGACATGAATGGGATGATGTAGCACTGTGACAGTCGGTCTTCTTTGAGGCTAGAGATGAATCCTCCAGTGTTCATACAGAATTTTACATTATGCCAATATTATTAATAGTGGCCTTCACAACTATTTAGTCTAAAACCCACACTCATATTCTGGGTTCTCTTTAGATTTTCACCTTCTAAAACCTGAAGGCTGCCCATTACAGAGGCAGCTAACCTCTGTTCATCATGTATCTTACTTCCTTCAGCTCAGTAGGGCCATCATTACACTGTGTGTCCATGCAAGTGCCTTAGTGGGTTGGGCCCATGTACTGCAGAGACATCTCAACACGGAGACATGTCATCCAGAAAAGAAAACTGCTTAGAGCCTGGGCAATGCACTTAGAAGGTTTATAAGGACATGTTTTTGGGCCGGCAGAAGCCAGGTCGGATCTTCTTCTCCCAGGCCACGCTAGTTTGGCAACAATGAAATCTGTCCCGGATGGGCGGAACTGTGGACTGACTCGGCTGCCTCTCAGCTCCGCCTTCTCCCTGAGTCCAGGACCGCAAGGGGTAAGTAAGGACACAGCCCGGCTTCTGCAGCCCCAGAGGAGAGCAGGGTGGGTGGGCCGGGTCACTTGGGAGTGGCCGACCCGGCGCGGATTGAACATAGCCTCCTCTTAGGCTACCACCTCTAGGACCGCGGGTCTCCGGCCGGAAGCTTACCGCGAGGCCGGCCGGCCGAGGTTGGTGCTCCAAGACAGATTCTGGAAGGGCTCCGGCAGCAATAGCAGCTATGAAGCGCTTTTCATTGAGCAGGGAAAAGAAGCGGCCAGAACCCTCCACTTCCCGTATCCGGTCACGTGCCGCTATACGCTGGAAGTTGACCCTGTGGAGCCGGAAATAGAGGCAGGGGAGGAAAACAGACTGGCCAATGGATTTGGAGGAGGCGGGACATCGCCTTGATGGATGGGGCAGGGGCGGACTGTGGGCGTGGAAAAAGTAGGGGCGGGGCCTGCATGCACCGAGGCCAGTGATTCTCAACCTGTGGTTCTTTCGCGGTCATATATCAGATATCCTGTATATCAGGTATTTACATTACAATTGATAACACTAGCAAAATTACAGATATAAAGTAGAAATGAAATACTTTAATAGTTGGGGCCCACTGCAACATGAGGAAATGTATTAAAGGGTTGCAGCATTAAGAAATTTGAGAACCACTAGCATAGGCTGATTAGAGGAGTTGTTAATGGTGGTATTTCCTTTTTCTAGACGTACCCATTCTGTTATTTGTGGCAAATCTTTTGATAGCCCATTAAATGTTTTCTCCTATGCATGTGTAAACCCTGTTAACTCTAGATTCTTGGGAGCACTTCAGTGAGTTAAATCAGAATCTCTGGGAGAGGAACCTAGACATCACTAGAACCCTTAATTTCTCCCCATTTAATTCCCACAAACAGCTCTGGTCTAGAACCATGACACTTACGCACATCATACCCTACCCCGACTGCACAGACCTTCTTCTTGGGCGCCGTTTAGAAACTGCACCCTTGCCGGCTCAATCAGATACTGAAACTGAATCTTTGTTTTAAAGGTGATGCTTGTTTCGGTGTGAGAGGCATGAATGATGCCAATATTTTGCGCTATAAGACAAGTGATTCATTTAGGCCACGTCCCTGGCAGGTATTTGACTGTCGGGAACTTTGATTTCCAAGTAAAAAGGCCATTCAGACTTTAATTCTATACTGAAGGAGTTCACAAGAGATAGGGCTAGAAAAGATGATTGCAAAGGCAGGATAACATACTCTACTAGGATGGTTTTCTTTTTCTTTTTTTTTCTTTGCTGGTTTTTTTCCCATTAATTTATTTATTCACTTTATGTGCCAATCCTCCCCAGCCTCTCTGCCAATCGCAGCCTGCCCCTCCTGCCATCCTCCCCAGCCTCTCCCTCATTCTCTCCTCCTCTTCTCCACGGATACCAACCCACCCTGGGACATTAAGTCACTGCAGGACTAGGCACACAGGGTGGATTTCTTAAGAAAATGATGGACGAGCTGTGCACAGTATTTTGCACCATTCATCTAAAGATAGAATTTTGGGACAACTAGGAGAATAATAAACGGGGACCTGTTTGTTGCTGAGTTTGTTGTCTTCTAGTCAAGGCTACCTGAGATGAATCTCACAAGATCTAGTTCTATATATTTGGATAGACTTCTCTGGTGTTTCCTTGTGAGCTCCAGAATATTTGCCTTGGGTGTCTTAGCTGACAATTCCATTTGGGTGTTTTTGTTGTCATTTTGTCTTTTTATTGGTCTTTTTTTTTTTTGTACCTATATGTCACAGTTCTCCTCAGGGTTGAGAAGTGAGTAGTATTCTAGAAGGCTAGACTCTTCTCCTCAATGTCGGATTTGTGTATCCACTTCTCTGCCTCTGATATTTCTGTTTGGATAACTGAACAGCAATAATAAGAATGATAATAAAATATTTATATTATGTTTACACTTAATTACATAGTTATATAAATTATATTATATTTATATAAAAGATAGCTATTTATATAAGGTATTTTATTATAGACTATAAAGTATATCATATTTAATAATTATATTAAAGTGTCCCTTTCCTCTGTGGATTTTTCTCTGTTTGGGGATTTATCCCTGGAGGGCAGGAGTGAGAGGAGAAATGAAACATTACAAAAAGATGCAGTCAGAGAGGGAGTTTCGGTTGATCATCTTCATATTTGAATATTTTCTGACTCTCTTAGGCCCTTTAAGAAACTTTATGAATCTCTGAATTGTCTATTACAGGCAAGAACAAAGGAAACATTTGTATGTCATCCCCTTCCTTTGGCCAAAAGTTAATAACACTCCCAGGCTTTGACAGTTGTAAATCTCAGCATACACTTACATCAAGGATGTGCGGACGCAGGAATGAGGGACGATGGGCTGTCGTGTTGCATTTGCTCAGAGATCATTAAAACATGCTCAGAACAGGTTGCTGGATACGTTAAACATGAAAGGGTTTGAAGAGATAACAGAACAGCACAAAGGCTGTGTCCACTCCGGTTCAATCTTTTGCACCTTTCTCATCTCCTCATGCCATCTGCTGGGTTTAAATCTCTACACAAGTCACTTCAGATGACCAGACAAGATGGCACCTGACTAAACCTCTGAACCTGTAAGCGAGTTCCAGTTAAATGATTTCCTTTATAAGAGTTGCTGTGGTCAAGGTGTGTCTTCCCAGCAACGGAACACTGACTGATCATAGATTGTGTAGTTCTGCCTTCAGCCTGAGGGTGCTGTAAAAGGATTTGTAGGTTGAAGTAATAGTGATTTGGGATGCTATAGTTCTGGTGACTGTGGGCATTGGCAGAATTAATAAGAGAAAAAAGTCTTACTTCAAGCCACTTCTTTACATAAAAATGAATAATAAAGTGTGTTTATACAAGCTCTGCTGAAAGGTAAGATTCCCTGGGTATACTGAATATTCCTAAGAGCTATCCCAAGTGAGAGTAACGTGTAGTATCAATTCAATGTTACTGACCAGTTAATGTGATGTGTCAACTCACCTAGGAGGCAGAATCAAATCCTTTACTCTGTATTTGGTAGGCATAAAGAACTCCTATGTGGCCAGGGAAGTGAGTTGCAGAGGAGATGTCAGCGTTTTGAAAGTAAGTGATGGGAGAGTGTGAGCTATCCTTTCTTGAAATTACGTGTATTTTATGAACCTGCTCAACTTGATTCTATGCTTTTTTCATACTTCAACAGGTTGTTTCTGAAACTGCACCAGGGAGTTGGTGGAACTAATAATATATCCACCTCATGAGAGATGAACTTTGTTTTCTCAGTAGAGAATTGTTCTCTGCTTCAGAAAACATGTCTTGCAGAACAGTGCGGACCTGCGTAGCAACTCTTACTGTGGTTTTCTGGAGATTTCACACAGCACTTTTATCCATCACAAATCCCAAGCCTTCAGATCTGTTGGGGCAAAAGGTTGGGTACTAGGGCAACTTGCAAGACATCCCTTCTGGCAACATAGACAAGTGGCGAATATTATAGTTTTTCATTCTACTATCTTAACCATGTCTGGCATAGCTCATTATCAGGCCCAGGAAGCACAAAGGCTTTGTGTTAGAATTTACTCCATCCTTGCCAAAACATTGAATGGTGAATCAGCTGACATCATCTGCTTCCCCTGTCCAGCCTTACACCTGTATTTATTTTTCTGACTTCAGACTTTCAACACTTATCCTTACATATATTCCGCTTGTTCCTATTGGCACATATTAGCCCATTTTTTGCAGTATCTTAGCATAGTTTGGTGATTCTCAACCTCAGATGATTTTCAGTCCTTGAGGGATATTTGACAATGGTTTGAGACATTTTTGCTTGTCATTACTGAAAGAGATCTGCTGACATCTAGTGGATACAAGCGAGAGTTTGTGTTAAATGATCTATAACACTAAAGATAGAGCCCTTCACAGTAAAGAACTATTCATCCCCAAATGTCCCAGTTGCCAGAAGGGAGGAACCTTTGCTGTAGCTTTCTCTAGAGCAGAGGTTGCAGTTTCTCACAAAGGCTGTGCTGGGTAGCTTGGTTATGGAGTTGAAGCAATGAGGAAGAAATGTGCTAGAAACAGGAAGTGAAGGAAACAGTTATACTCTGAAGCAACTTTCTTTGCAACATTTCAAGACATGGGGAGACTGCTCTTCATTGTCAAAAGGAAAGACACATTGAAGTGGAGAAAACTCTGAGTGTTTAAGACTGTGAAATCTGAAAGGAAAAGTATTGGCTCAGGATCCCAAGACCAAGTTCTCAGCACAAAGCAGATTTATTTGTCCCAGAGGGACAGAGGACAGGGAATAAGAGACAAACACAGGAGATAAAGGACACAGGAGAAAAGGAAGGGACACAGGAGACTGAGGAGGAGTATTTGTCTTAGAATGGAGAGGAGGCAGAAGTGGCACATAGGAACATAGCAGGTTCTAAAGGTAAAGGGGGAAGTCTCGTGTTAGGATGAGGAATTTAATTTTAATTGTGCATGTTAATTAGGTGAGCCAAGAGAGGCTTTTGATGGTTAGACTTCAATATTTTGATAGCCGAATCTCAGTAGTCAGCCTTAAGAGGAGGAGGAGGAGGAGGAGGAGGAAGTGACCAAATAAGGGAATGGACCTTGGTGGCTATCTGCAGGAATGTAATCCATCAGTTTGTCAAGGCTGACGGAATGGGGGAGAAGGGCAAGGCCGGCCAGAACCATGCTTGCCACGCTCGAGCTGGCCAGAGTCCCTTTAGAGTCTACACAATGTCTCCATTCTAGATTTCAAAATCCCATTACTTTTCTATTAGGCTTTGACGTAGATGGCATTTCCAGGCTATGGATTTTGCTCGGAGCAGCTTTAACCCTTGAGCTTCTGTTTCTCTTATGGTTAAACAGCGGGGCAGGAGCTCAGCACAGTCTGCTGTGTGGCCTCTCTGCTCCAGAGGCCCTCTGGCTTTCTCAGTGACCTATAATTTTTGTGGTACTTTCTGAGAACCTCAGAGATCATCTTACAATTCTCCACAACTGAGAAGAGAAAAGTGTTGATCTGTTGCTTCCCCTGCCACTGGTCACTATTTCACCACATACTTCAGTGTTCATGTGACTGCAGGGCTGAATCATGCAGATGTTCCGAGCCATGGCATTGTCTGCAATATGACATACCAGGGAGCGAGAGAGATTCGTTGTTGTCACATCGTCCTTCAGAGAAGCTAGCTGACGTCTGTGACTGGCCACTGCAGGAGGAATCTAGACAAAGATGAAACTTGAAGGGCTTAGTGCTACTCAAGGAAACAGATACTGCCGGTCCCTCAGTGTCTCTCTGAAGTAATGTTTTCGCCATGTTTTCAGCTGCCCAAATCAATTCTGGACTCCTTATCTCTCTCACTCTACATCTGGTGACTCCAGAAATCTTGTTCTACCACCAAGATGGATGCCAAATCTAACCACTCCCCAGCCTTTCCACATTCTTCCTGGATTCCTCTGTGACATTGTCCCTCTAGACTTTCCGTCTTCAGTCACACTTGGGTCAAACACAGGGTTCAGCATTTGATCTAACCTATACATGGGAAACTTGGTAACAATGCCACTGGCAAGCCCAGACTCTCTCCCTAGAAATGTAAGGAAGCCAACATATTAATTTTTATTGAAAGTCAGTTTTTGTGTTAGGTATGCTAAATATCTTGAGTTTATATTCCTCCCTCATCCAGAGAGATATTAAATTATGATTTGTTTCTATATTATTCAGCTGAAGAATGGGGTCTCCCATAAACTCAGTAACCCACATTTAAACAATAGAAAGTGCCTTTCTGGAATGAGACATTTAAACTTCACAAAGATAGATCTGTTCTCAACTATGTAGGTTAGGAATTAGCTTTTACCTTTACTGAGGGCCTTTAGCCTTCCTAGGAGAGAAGTGGGATGCATCTTAGAGAGAATAGTTGCCTTGGGGTTGTATACAAATCTAGAAGTTGTTTAAGAGCTTGCAGCCTATTTCCCACAGACTCTTGAGTCTTTCAGGAAAAATATTGAAAGTTGGTAGTGAACCGATGTGGAGAATTAAGCAATGAGATGGAGAAGCACATACTTACATTTAAATCAGAGCCTGACCTATACAATAACCCCTCCCAGCTAGGACGGGTAACTGAATCCTGTACACAATCTCACTATCCAAACAAAACATCAATAAAAAGTTAATTATCCTGAAAGAATCCAAGAGTGTGGTGGAAATAAGCCGTTTCTGGTCATTACAAATTTACTTTTCTGCCAGTTTTACTTAGAAATGTAAAACTGTTTTTTAAAAGTGTAATGTAAGTAGGAAAAACAAAATAAGACCAAAAAACGGTAGAAGCCCCATGGTCTGTGACATCACACAGGTGTGGGTCAGATTTGGTTTCAGCCTTTACTGAGTCAGCAGCCACAGGGAAAGTTACTTGACCTCTCTGATCCTCATTTTCCTCATCTGGAAATTTAAAATTATAGGTTCCATTTGTGTATCAGTGTTCACTTTGGTAAAGCGTTCTGTGTTATGTTTTTACGGCCTTAGTAGTCCCAGCAATGTACAATTTTAGGGAAATGCACAGATTTTCTGTTAACTGATCTTTTGGTTAAGGGTAGAAAAAGTTGAAAACAATACATTATTTATTTGCTGTGTTTTCTTTTTTTCCTACTTTTTTAGTGTGTTAGAATTTATGTAACACAAAGTCTAACCATTTTAATCACTTAATTTTTTTTTTTTTTTAGATGAAAGTCTTACTGTGAAGCTATGGCTGGCCTGGAACTATCTGGGTAGATGAGGCTGGTCTTGAACTCACAGAGATCTAGTTAGCAATCTCCCTCTACCTCCAGAGTTCTGGGATTAAGGTGTGCATAACTACACCTGGCCTCAATTTAGTTGCCTTTCTACATAAGAGTTTGGTGGTGTTTTGAGTACATTCATTTTGCACTGAGGTACATACGGTAATTCCAGCCCTCAGGAGGCTGAGGCAGGCAGATCTCTGTGAGTTCAAGGGCAGGCTGAGATAAGAGTGAGACCCTGTCTCAAGAAAAAAATACAATGATATAATTTATAATATTGTGTGATGTTACCACCACCCACTTCAGAAGAGTCCTTATGTTGCAAAACTGAAACTCTATATCCAAACTGAAACTCTGTATCCAAGAAACAACTTCCCTTATTTTCCTTACCGGAAGCTGACAGCTACATTTTACAAAGTCTCCTTCCCCCACTCTGCTCTCTATTTGCATATATGATATTTCCTTTCAATAGGATTTTTGGGGATAAAGAATTTTATAAATATTGTTGTAAGAGAAATATTTATTTGTGCAGCCCTATAATATCTGGGAAGTAATTATATTCATTAATGATCTATTAGCCCAAATTCTGGTCAAGAAAGCAAAGGTGTCAGCTCACAGTCTTGGTTCTACCCCTGGGAGATGGAATGAGCCTCCTCACTTCAGACTTTGGGCTCGACTTGCTTGCTTTGACCAGGATTTGCTAGTGGATCTGACATGAACAGAAATTTAAAGGTCCTTGAAAAATAGGCTTCTCCTTTATGTCTTTGGACACATAGTAAGTCCTGGGATCTTATAATACTAAAAATATATTTGCCATCATTGTGATCGATAGACATGGATGACTACAGGAAACGTGACAGGATACATTGTGCTCCCTTTTCTGAGAGGAGCTGTACTCAGAAGACAGCAGAGAAGGGAGCATCTTCAGGAAGAAAAAGACAATCCCAAATAATAAGTGAAACAGGTGTGACAGAGCCGGAAAAGCAAGTCAAGTTGAGGATCACGTGACTCATCTGTCTTTTATAAAGAGATATGGAGTGCCCGGAACATCTAGATGAGAGAGACATAGCATGAGCAAGAATAACTAGCACTGAATGGTGAGGAAGTGCTTACAAAGCTCATCCCCAGATGTGTAAATATTAGTAGGCATCGGCACTGTAAACACTTTGGCCTTGTTAGGGGAGTATGGTAGATAGGTCATATGCCAAATATTAATATCATTAAGAGCCAAGGATAATAGAGAATATAAGCCCATAAAATCAAAGAAGAGGAAACCCCAGGCTGCTACCTTTTAGTTATAAATATTATTATACATTCACTAACATGAGCTTCTGTTTTCAAAAGCAGCATGCATTTCCTAGATCTGTTGATCTTTAAGCACAGCGTGTGTGGTAAAGCGTCACCGGCTAGGTGGTCATGAGTTTCTCTAAGAGGACAGGATGCAGTGGTGTTAACATTCCACCCCACATGGAAAGATGCATGTTCAACATTATTAATTGACCTGCTTGCTTCAGGGTAGCAGTGAACAGATCTAGGGAATGTATGCATTTTAAAAAAGATTTTATGTTTTTATCGTGTCTCTTGTCTTAGTTACTGTTCTCTGCCGTGAAGAGACACCGTGGCCAAGGCAATCTCAAAAGAAGCATTTCATGTGGGGTTTAATATCTAAGAGTTAGTCCACAACAGGCATGATTGGACCAGTAGCTGAGACTTTGCACCTGATCTGTAAGATAGTGGCAGAGATAGAAAAGAGATTGAGAGAGGGAGAGGGAGAGAGAGAGGGGGAGGAGGGGAGGAAGGGGGAGGGGGAGAGGGAGGGGAAGGGAGAGAGAGAGGGAGGGGGAAGGAG